ACACACGCCCAAGGAAGGGCAACCAAAGGTACTGGCATCACTGGTCATGAAAATCTGAATGAGGCTGGTGTACCTGAGGGTGGGCACAGGGGGCTCCTCACAGCAGCAGCCCTCTGATTTTACCCAGCCCAGCTCTGGATTCGCGTGTACTCCAGTATGTATAGCTCTCTGTGGTGGAAAAGATCCTTTAATGAAAAATTTGACATATAATTATTATTTTAAAAATTTTTCATTTTGTTATTATTTTTTAATGTGACCAGACAGAATGAGAGAGAAAGGGAAAGTGAGAAAGCAAGGCGCCAGGACTGGGACTAGAACCACTATGGGCTATGCGGGAGTCCACTGCCTTAACCACCATGCCATCTGCTGCCCCCCCATATGTTTTTATTATTAATCAATGATAATTATGGGTACCATTTATTGGGTACTTACTAGTTGCTAGGCACTCTTCTAAGTGCTACATGTTTTTTTCCTCACGTAATCCTCACATCAGTCCTCAGAGATGGACAGGACTGTTCCTCTTTTATAGATGGAGAAGTCTGCCTCCATTCAGAGCTAATGATTCCACCTGGCTGCCTGAACCCGGCAGCCCACAGCCCCTCCTGGCAGCCACCGGCCAGCCTCCAGATGAGCGCAACCTTTTGTTTTACTGTGCAGTTACCTTGGACATAGACCTTCGCACTCTCTGCATTAGACACATGGATTTTTGACACCTACTCCTGCTTTGTCTGACTACGGAAGTGGGAGAGCAGCCTCAGGTTTCGGCCGGGCTATTATCTTGCGGAGAGACTCCTTTGGGTGTCCCACACCGGACCTGTCCCATCCTGTTCCATGTTTGGACGGCTAGGTCCTTTTCATTCGGACTGATTGCTCTGCGCGCTTCATTACCGCAAGCGCCAAGCTCTGCTTAGCATGGCAGCGTCTTGTTCCGCGGAGCGGCTCTCTCTGTCCGCATTGCTCGGCCTCGGGGCAGCGCTGCGCTGGAACTCGGCATTACCAACGCGGACGCTGCGTGCTGCACCACTGACTCTCCACGGTTCTGCCCTTCCGGGGCCTTTGTTCTCCGGCCAGCTGTGCCTGTGATCTCCAGGCTGTGGTGATCACAGGGTGTAAGTTCCTTTCCCCACTTTGCCAGGAAGAGGAACTTCCTGATTGGGGTCTGAGCTGACACGGCTCTTCCTGCATTGAATTCTTTTGTGTGTTTCCATTAACTATTCTGTGTCATCGCACGGTGGTGGAGGCGGCGGTGGCATCATCCATCCATTCATGGCACATTTATTAAGCACCTTTTCATGTTCCAGGCACTGTGCTGAGCACTGGGGTTGCCATGGTGACCAAGGCAGAACTTGTTCCTGCTCTCATAGTTCACTGTTCTTGAATGAGTCAGACATATCAAGAGACAACTGCAATACAATGTGATAATCTGAAGAGACAATCACAAGTATTTTGAGGCCACATGAAAGGGGCAACTACTCCCAACTTGAAGGACTGAGGCAGATTACCCTGGGGGCAGTGATATTGAGACCGGAAGGATGACTACAAGTTAGGCCGGAGAAGAGGTCAGTGGCTGGGTAGCAAGGAGGAGAAAAGAGCCTTCCAGCCCACACTCCTCAAAGGCCTACAAGCAAAAACAGCACACCCGGCCTGGGAAGCCACAGTTAGGTCTGGAGAGCTGGAGCAGAGTCCGAAATAGGGCGTGGCCAGATAGGAAGCTGGAGAGACAGGCAGAGGCGAGGATAGGAAGGGTGGCTGTCATTTCATTATGCCATGTGCCACTGGCTTTCAACTACAATAGCTTGGATATTTCGTAGCAGGTGATTGGACTGGGGAGTAGCTTCTGTTTAGGACTTCTGTGTTTTGAGCATGATGGATGATCTCAGAGACCTTTGTCCTAGACCTTAGCCACACCACCTGAGGCCCTAAGCCAGCCTTCTTCCCCTGTGTAGAATCTAAGACCTACAGGGTTTTTCTATTGGTTGCCACAAGTGATGGTGTTCCCTCCAAAAACCAGTGCCTTTAGTCGAGGTCTCCTCTGCTACCTCCATTGCTGCTTCTCTAGCCATGCCTGGCCAGGGCCACCATTCCTGCGTTGACCTCTGTTCTGCTAGCTATGTGGCCTTTTCTTTTCTTTTCTTTTTGAGAGGTTTTTGCTACAGGGAGCGTGTGCTCGCCAGAGACAGAGACAGAGAGACAGAAAGCAAGAAATCATCCCCCAGGGGGGATGGCCACCCCACAATCCCTTCTCCATTCTCCTCCCAGGATCTTGGGCACGCACGCACACGCACCCGGCGTGAGTTTTAAGCCACTAGGTCCAGGACGCAAACCTCAGTCGACTACATGGGAGTCCAGCGACATAGCTATTACGCTAACTGCTGATCCTGCTATGTGGCCTTTTATAGCACCAGCAGCCCTATAAGGTAGAGTTGGTTATCTGCATTTGGATAAATGGAGAAACAGAGGCTCAGAGACATTAAGTTACTAGTCAGAGCTGAGGCAAGGCAGAATTTGGACCTAGTGTGATTCCAACCATATAACAGTGTCTCTCACCATCTTTTTTTCTGTTCTTGGAAGTGAGTTTTATGAAAAAAAACTATGCATAAATTTTTAAAATGTTTGCAGCAAAATAAACTTGTACTTTAATTCCATTTTCCATGAACTTTTGAAGTCCCCTTATAGTTCTTTCCTGTTTATTTATTTATTAGGTTGTTGGGAAAGTCATGATGTATTTTTTTTATGTTTTTCTAGAAAAATGCATTATGACTTTCCTGC